CTCATCTCCATTTCTAAGCCGAAGAGCCGGCGTTGTCCATAGACACCTCCAAGGCCATGTGGCCGGCATGACTGCATGGAGTGGTACCTATTGATCTACCCACATTTGCATGAAAACATGATACACAGACACAAAGGGGACCACCGTATAGCTCAGTGGCCCCCAAGAACTAAAATATGGCCTGCGGCATCACCATTACTACACCATTGTAACGAGAGCAACTAGTCTCACTGAATCTTCTTATAGTGCAGAGGCAACGGGGATGTCAGGAAGGGAGAGCCTTACTACCCATGAAAGGCGTGACAACAAGCCTCCTGACTGCTGCTTCTCCTCCTCCTCCTCCCTCCCCCTGAGCGGAGCCGTTCCATGTGGCACATGGAAGTGGGGGCACCTTGGTGTCTTCATTTTTAGGCCTGTTCCTGTGGTTATTTGGGGTGCTGATTCAGAAAATTGCATTGGGTAGACCACATCAGCTCTAGATTATTAAAATGGTTTTCTTTGTGCGAGCAGATGGTGTCTACCGGATGGCATATGTTCTGTATCAGAAACTAAAGCTGATGTGGTCTATCCAATGCAATTTTCTGAATCAGCACCCCAAGTAAACAAACTGGATCTAAAGCTGATCAAAAACCTTTTGGTAATAATGTTGGTAATAATGTTGGAGCGTAGTCCCTAGTCAAATTGTCCCTGGTCAAAAAAAGGTTGGGAACTGTTAGTTGCAAAAGGATCAACATCAAGTATGTGTGTTGAAGAAAACCATATACTGTTAATCATTGTGTGCAGCTGCTAGTCTAGGTCAGCTAGTAAATTTGAGCCACACCCGATGGGGTATAACTGTACGTGTTTTAGAATACAGTTTAGCTTTTGCTCTGAGGAGCTCATGCTCACAGCATTCTGCTCAACCATTTGTGCTGCTCATTTGAAGGAAGATGCATTCTATTGTCGAAGGCTTGAATCACTGGGTTCTTGTGGGTTTTTTTCGGGCTATATGGCCATGTTCTAGAGGCATTTTCTCCTGACGTTTCGCCTGCATCTATGGCAAGCATCCTCACCTCACTACCTCTGAGGATGCTTGCCATAGATGCAGGCGAAACGTCAGGAGAAAATGCCTCTAGAACATGGCCATATAGCCCGAAAAAACCCACAAGAACCCAAGATGCATTCTGTTAGTTGTACAAGGACTATGTAAGTTTGTTGCACTGTTTATTTTGTACGCAACACTGCAAGTTTAGTTTTTTGGCTCTGCTGACAAGAGTAAAGTATTTCTGTTCCTTTTTCCTCTTGCCTTTGTGCAAAATTATTGTATCTTTTGCATTGGACCAGACTAAATTGCACTTAAGCGTAACAGGAATCACTGGTATAGCTCCTGAATTGCAATTTGCTATGGACCTCCCTAGTGTTTTGTTTCTAATTACACAACTGTACACCATTACCATTTGTCAAATTAGATGCTCTGAGGAAGGGCAGCTAGCTTCTAGAAGTAGTGCTACACGTGGGGTCAAGCAGGGCTGCATTCTGGCTCTTCCATTGTTCATCATATTCCTGTATTATTTACATCAGACTTTAGTGTTAGTGAATGGTCATAGACTCAAACTCCATTCTACCCATGGTCCATTACTCTTATATGCAGATGATGATGTGCTATTGTCCTTATCTAGTATTGGCCTTAAATGATTAAATCATTGCTTTGCTAATTACTGTGAAATAAATAGAAATAAATCTAAAATTCTCATTTTTTCCAAAAAGTAGAAGCCCATACTCCTCTACCCTTCTATTCTGCCTTGGTTAGACCACACCTGGAATATTGTGTCTAATTCTGGGCACCAGAATTGAAGAGAGATATTGACAAGCTGGAAAGTGTCCAGAGGAGGGCGACTGAAATGATCAAGGGTCTGGAGAACAAGCCCTATGAGGAGCGGCTTAAAGAGCTGGGCATGTTTAGCCTAAAGAAGAGAAGGCTGAGAGGAGACATGATAGCCATGCATAAATATGTGAGAGGAAGTCATAGGGATGAGGGAGCAAACTTGTTTTCTGCTGCCCTGGAGACTAGGATACGGAACAATGGCTTCAAACTACAAGAAAAGAGATTCCATCTGAACATGAGGAAGAACTTCCTGACTGTGAGAGCTGTTCAGCAGTGGAACTCTCTGCCCCGGAGTGTGGTAGCGGCTCCTTCTTTGGAAGCTTTTAAACAAAGGCTGAATGGCCATCTGTCAGGGGTGCTTTGAATGCAATATTCCTGCTTCTTGGCAGAATGCGGTTGGACTGGATGGCCCATGAGGTCTCTTCCACTCTGATTCTATGATTCTATATCTTGACAGATCAGAGGCCACAAAATTGAACAGGTCAAATACTTTCAATATCTTGGTATTTGCTATAGATATTATTATTTATTTATTTATTTATTTACTATACTTGTATACCGCCTTTCTCAGCCTTATCGGCAACTCAAGGCGGTTTACAACAAGTCAGCACACATAACAACAAAATACAAATTAAACATTATAACAGTATAAAACCACAATAGAAGCAACAACATAATAGTCATCAGCGCCTCCTAGTTAAATAACGTTCTCCAACCTGTTGTGGCTCTCACAGTGACAAGTAGTAATGGCTTTTGCACATTACAACATTGCAGCAATATATCGTTTTTTTCTACGGCAAGGGTCACCAATATATCCCTGCTGCCCTCAAAGTTTTTGAGGCTGGGATTTGTTCTCTGTTCCAGTATGGCTCCCCTATTTGGATTCTGCATTCAGTAAATCATTTAATACACTACATTCCCAGTTTCTCCGGAAACTAATTGGGTTCCTTAGATGTGTTCCTTGCATCCTGCTGTGCATTGAGACGGGTCAAATCACTCTTGAAACCTTAACATGGATGAGAGCTATAAAATTCTGACTGCATTTACATTTTCAAACAGACCCCGATAGCTATATTCCCTCTCTGTTATCAGATCATTTTATTTCAAAATTGTATTGTTTGATTTTCAGAAATATAGATGCAATTGGCCTGTCTTTGGAAGCACTCTTAATGCTTATTCTATTTATTTATCTCGTGTCAGGGCAGCCAGTCCATTATATTACATTTCTAACAGAACAAAGCAAACAAACAGACGTAATACAAAATTTGTGAGTTTGGTAGTTGATTAAATGTCCTTTGACCAGTATCTGGCCACTTGGAGTGCTTCTGGTGTTGCTGCAAGAAGGTCCTCCATTGTGCATGTGGCAGGGCTCAGGTTGCATTGCAGCAGGTGGTCAGTGGTTTGCTCCTCTCCACATTCGCATGTCAAGGATTCCACTTTGTAGCCCCATTTCTGAAGGTTGGCTCTGCATCTTGTGGTGCCAGAGCACAGTCTGTTCAGCGCCTTCCAAGTCACCCAGTCCTCTGTGTGCCCAGGGGGGAGTCTCTCATTTGGTATCAGCCATTGGTTGAGGTTCTGGGTTTGAGCCTGCCACTTTTGAACTCTCACTTGCTGAGGTGTTCCAGCGAGTGTCTCTGTAGATCTTAGAAAACTATTTCTAGATTTAAGTCGTTGACGTGCTGGCTGATACCCAAACAGGGGATGAGCTGGAGATGTCTCTGCCTTGGTCCTTTCACTATTGGCTGCTACTTCCCGGCGGATGTCAGGTGGTGCAATACCGGCTAAGCAGTGTAATTTCTCCAGTGGTGTAGGGTGCAGACACCCTGTGATAATGCGGCATGTCTCATTAAGAGCCACATCCACTGTTTTAGTGTGGTGAGATGTGTTCCACACTGGGCATGCATACTCAGCAGCAGAGTAGCACAGCGCAAGGGCAGATGTCTTCACTGTATCTGGTTGTGATCCCCAGGTTGTGACAGTCAGCTTTCGTATGATATTGTTTCTAGCACCCACTTTTTGCTTGATGTTCAGGCAGTGCTTCTTGTAGGTAAGAGCACGGTCCAGAGTGACTCCCAGGTATTTGGGTGCGTTGCAATGCTCCAGTGGGATTCCTTCCCAGGTGATCTTCAGAGCTCGGGATGCTTCTCTGTTCTTGAGATGAAAGGCACATGTCTGTGTTTTAGATGGGTTGGGGATCAGCTGGTTTTCCCTGTAATAGGCAGTAAGAGCACCTAGAGCTTCGGAAAGCTTCTGTTCTACCATCCCAAAGCTCCCTGCTTGAGAGGTAATGGCACGATCATCAGCATAGATGAAACTCTCTGTCCCTTCTGGCAGTGGCTGGTCATTTGTGTAGATGTTGAACATGGATGGAGCAAGCACGCTCCCCTGAGGCAGGCCGTTCTTCTGTTTCCGCCATCTGCTTCTCTGGCCCTGGAACTCAACAAAAAAGCTCCTGTTTTGTAGCAGGTTTTAATGCCAACTCTTAATGCTAACAAATGTGGAAGTCTATAAGTCAGTCAAAAGCAGACTTTTGGATCTTGACTTTCATAATCTGACTCTTGCAGCCAAAACAACTTGTTCCCCTACCACATCATTAATTCCATGTGAGAATGGAATCATGGCATCTTATTGTTGCATTTTTATTAATCCCACCCAGAGGAGAGTTTTGGTGATAGCAAAATGTAATGTGTTGCCATCAGATCTTTTGGATGGGAGATATGGAACATTCCAAAACGGTTTGTTCTTGTGACTTGGTCTCTGTTGAAACATTTCACTTTTCTTCGTTTGTTTGCCCCAAATATGATACTATACGGATGAAATACAGGAATTCCCATTTTTTCAGAGTGTTGTCAATGGCATGGGTGTTATAAAATTCCATATCTTTTGAACAACTCTGATGCACTCTATTGTGAGACTGTTGCAAATTTTATTTTTTAGATTAGTAACTTTTAAGTATGTTTTTATTTTATCTGTGATCTCCCCTTGTTGTATATGCTTGTGTTGTGATTTTGGTTTTGTATGCCAATAAAGGCTGTGTATACATGGAATTCTGGTTTGAAAAGCATGGCTTCATCATTAATATTTTCTTTTGCTGCTTTGTTGACTCCCAAATCCTTTGTTCCCCTCTTAATTCTAGGAAGGACACACTGAGCTCCCCAGGATCCAAAATGCACAGGACCACCAGGATAAAAATCACAGAGCTCAACCCGCACTTGATGTGCGCCCTGTGTGGAGGCTACTTCATAGATGCCACAACCATTGTGGAATGCTTACACTCTTGTAAGTATAAAAACAACTCTGGTTACTTTGGGGACTTAACTAGGAACCTCCTCCCCCCCCCCCCCCACCCCAACTGCTGCTGTTTCAATGCTAAAGCCAGTTGTACTTCATGCAAAACAGTAGCAATCCCTTTTGAGTTCAGAGCTTGTAAAAATATATTTGGACTACAATACTCACAGTCCCCGAGCTATCCTGGCTTTAACAATCTTGGGGTTGCAATTCAAAAATAATTATTCCAAGCTGTCAGGGTGTGAAGGTTGTATTTGATTTATTACAAAGGAAGAGACACAAAAATCAAGAGACAAGGTGCAAACATACTTGAGACCTGACAGCATTAAGTAGTTGAGAATTTCTTTCCATTAATCACCAAGATGAGAGATGAGCTGTATAAACACTTCGAATATTCTCAGATATGAGCCACATTAGAGAATGTGCTTGACATGACTGTGAGGGAACGTTTCCCTCTTCTTTCATGCATTTCGTACCCTTTGACACAGACTCCAGGCATTAAAAACAAGTATGGTGAGATGGGGAACTCTCAAACAACACATAGAAAGGTACGCAGAGCATGCAGTTCCTGTAAGATAATGTCCAAGTTGGGAGAAGGGTATGGTCTCAAATCTAAGAAAGGTAATCACCTTTGAGGTGTGGAGTTAGTAACAACATAGTTAAAGGTAAAGGTTTCCCCCTGACATTAAGTTCAGCTGTGTCCAACTCTGGGATGTGGTGCTCATCTCCATTTCTAAGCCCAAGAGCCAGTGTTGTCCGTAGACACCTCCAAGGTCATGTGGCCGTCATCACTGCATGGAGCGCTGTTACCTTCCCGCCGGAGCGGTACCTATTGATCTAACAACATAGTCAGCCCAAATAATGCTCATTTTTGTGAAAGGCTGGACAGATTGTTCAGGAAAGGAGGAACTACAAGGGAAGGGATGTTTCAGACCTTTAGCAGTAAGGCAGCAGAGCATAGGGCTGCCCCATGTAATCTTGGACAGCATTATTGGGGTTGACTTGGTAATACCTTTGCTTGTGATAGCTGTGCCATCCAGCAAAGTCCAAAAATACAGATAACTATGAGAAATATGAGTAATGCTGTTCTGTGAGTTCCATGTGTGCATATATATTTATTATTATGCTAACAGAACTATAATAATAATAAAACTTTATTTATATACCACTCTATCTACCCAAGGGGGACTCTGGGTAGTTTCCAAGCAAAACATGAATAGTAAACAGCATAACAAAATTAACAAAACAACATAAGCATAAAATTATCACAATTACACACATATATAAATAAAAATGTAATGTTAGTTTGCGGGATTAACATAACTCAAAAACCACCAGACAAATTGACACCAAATTTGGACGCAATATACCTGTCAGGCCAACAAATGACCATCACTCATAAAAACACTGAAAAACACAGCAGAAGGGACTGGAGTCCAAACGAACATATGTGGACTCCAGTCCACATATGTTCGTTTGGACTCCAGTCCATTTCTTCAGATCAATCTGTAAGATGCCGCAGCACTCTTTCTTTATTTGTATGCTGAAGCTGGCTAGCATGGCTCTTTCCCTGAGTTATGTCATAACTATAATTATGGTTAGGTGGATCTGTAATTGGTTAAACGAATGAACTCAGAGGGTGCTCACCAAAGCTTCCTCTTCATCCTGGAAAGAAGTGACGAGTGGAGTGCCATAAGCAGGGTTCCGTCCTGGGTCCGTTCCTGTTCAACATCTTTATTATGATTTAGATGAAGGGTTAGAAGGCATGATCATCAAGTTTGCAGACGACACCAAATTGGGAGGGAGAGCCAATACTCCAGAAGACAGGAGCAGAATTCAAAATGATCTTAACAGATTAGAGATATGGGCCAAAACTAACAACATGAAGTTCAACAGTGACAAATGCAAGATATTCCACTTAGGCAGAAAAAAAAATGAAAGGCAAAGATACAGAATGGGGGACGCCTGGCTCGAGAGCAGTACATGTGAAAAAGATCTTGGAGTCCTCGTTGACAACAAGTTAAACATGAGCCAACAATGTGATGAGGCAGCAAAAAAAGCCAATGGGATTTTGGCCTGCATCAATAGGAGTATAGTGTCTAGATTCAGGGAAGTCATGCTACCCTTCTATTCTGCTTTGGTTAGACAACACCTGGAATACTGTGTTCAATTCTGGGCACCACAATTGAAGGGAGATGTTGACAAGCTGGAATGTGTCCAGAGGAGAGTGACTAAAATGATCAAGGGTCTGGAGAGCGGCTTAAAGAGCTGGACATGTTTGGCCTTCAGAAGAGAAGCCTGAGAGGAGACATGATAGCCATGTATAAATATGTGAGGGGAAGTCATAGGGAGGAGGGAGCAAGCTTGTCTTCTGCTGCCCTGGAGACTAGGATGCAGAACAATGGCTTCAAACTACAAGAAAGGAGATTCCATCTGAACATTAGGAAGAACTTTCTGACTGTGAGAGACATTCAGCAGTGGAACTCTCTGCCCCGGAGTGTGGTGGAGGCTCCTTCTTTGGAAGCTTTTAAACAGAGGCTGGATGGCCATCTGCCGGGGGTGCTTTGAATGCAATTTTCCTGCTTCTTGGCAAGGAATTGGACTGGATGGCTTATGAGGTCTCTTCCAACTGTATGATTCTATCTGTTGCTGGGAAAATCGACTTCCTGACTCCTATGTCAGGCCCCTTCTACACTGTAACAGAAAATCTGGATTATTGCTTTGAACTGTATTATATGGCAGTATAGACTCATGTAATCCAGTTTAGAGCAGATAATCTGGATAATATGGCAGTGTAGAAGGGTCCATATAATGGGACTTAAATGGGACTTAAATACCAGTGTATTGCTGGTATTTAAGTCCCATGAGCTCTGCCTTGGTTGGATCACACCTGGAATACTGTGTCCAATTCTGGGCACCACAATTGAAAGGAGATGTTGACAAGCTGGAATGTGTCACTACTGGTCTCAGGTGCAAAATTATAATTGTTTCCTCCAAATGTTTCAAATAATTTGAAACCAATGAAATGTTTCTTTGTTTGTTTCTTTGTCATGGAACCTTGTATTATACCACTTTACTACCAGAAGGCTTTATGCTCCCTTTATTATTGCTTTGTATCTTCCATGCAGAGCAAGAGAAACTGGTATATTAAATAATATCCTTTTAGTGTCACCTCCAATGTCTCTTGCTTCCTTCACTTTGCAATTTTGCCTGTAGCTCTTCGGGACCTTAACATTTAGGGGAAGTTCTTCATCCAATGAATTCCTGAGTAATCACTATGCATTTGTTCAAAAATTAATGTTGAACTCCCTTGATGGCTTTTCATGATGTGACTCCAGAGCTGAACCAAAGACATTTTACTTTCAGAGGTAAGGCAATGCTAGCCAATTGCAATATTTCATCCCTGTTCTTTTGTTTCTTTTTTAGTCTGCAAAACCTGCATTGTCCGCTACCTGGAAACCAACAAATATTGCCCGATGTGTGACGTTCAAGTGCATAAAACACGGCCTCTTCTCAGTATCAGGTAATTACTGTTGATTTGTATTTTAACCATTAATCTGCTTAGGATGGATTCAGACAGGCGGGAGCGGCATGAGAACCGCTTTGAATCTTATAATACAACATTAGCAGTTGTATTGAGAAGTGGTCACATGGAATAGTCACATCCATTGCTATTAGTCTTCTACTTTTCTGAACTTCTGGGCATCCTCTGTCAGCTTGACCACTTGATGGAAGAGGGTTTATTTGATATATATCTCTCATATCTTTTTTCTAAGGACCTCAAAGTAGCATCTTCTATATCAGTGTTTCTCAACCTGGGGGTCAGGACCCCTGGAGGGGTCACGAAGGGGTGTCAGAGGGATCACCAAGGACCATCAGAAAACACAGTATTTTCTGTTGGTCATGGGGGTCTCTGTGTGGGAAGTTTGGCCCAATTCTATCATTGTTGGGGTTCAGAATGCTCCTTGATTGTAGGTGAACTATAAATCCCAGCAAGTACAACTCCCAAATCTCGAGGTCTATTTTCCCAAAACCCCACGAGTGTTCACATTTGGGCATATGGAATATCCGTGCCAAGTTTGGTCAAGATCCATCATTGTTGGAGTCTAGAGTGCTCTCTGGATGTAGGCAAACTTCAACTCCCAAACTCAAGGTCAATGCCCACCAAACCCAGTATTTTCTGTTGGTCATGGGAGAACTCCCAAGTTAGATTGAGTTAGATAAATAGTATTGTGTGCCAACTTTGGTTCAATTCCATTGTTGGTGTGGTTCAGAATGCTCTTTGTTTACAGGTTAACTATAAATCCCAGCAACTACAACTCCCAAATGGCAAAATCAATTCCCCCGCCAACCCCACCAGTATTCAAATTTGGGCATACCGGGTATTTGTGCCAAATTGGCTCCAGTGAATGAAAATACATCCTGCAAATCATTATTTACATGGCAATTCATAATGTTAGGGTTATGGTTGGGGGTCACCACAACATGAGGAACTGTATTAAGGGGTCACGGCATTAGGAAGGTTGAGAACCACTGTTCTATATAAATAAAAATGTAAAGTTCGTTTGTGGGATTAACATAACTCAGAAACCAGTGGACGAATTGCTGCCAAATTTGTCCACAAGACACCTACTAACCCAAGGAGTGACCATCACTCAAAAAAAAATTCATTTTGTCATTTGGGAGTTGTAGTTGCTGGGATGTATTGTTCACCTACAATCAAAGAGCATTCTGAACTCCACCAATGATGGAATTGAAACAAACGTGGCACACAGAATGCCCATGACCAAGAGAAAACACTAGAAGGGTTTGGTAGGCATTGACCTTGAGTTTGGGAGTTGTAGTTCACTGACATCCAGAGCACTGTGGACTCAAACAATGATGGATCTAGACCATACTTGGCACAAATATTCCATATGCCCTAATATGAACACAGATGGAGTTTGGGGGAAATAGACCTTGACATTTGGGAGTTGTAGTTACTGGGATTTATAGTTCACCTACAATCAAAGAGCATTCTGAACTTCACCAACGACAGAATTGGGGCAAACTTCCCACACAGAACCCCCATGACCAACAGAAAATGCTTAAGGCCACCCAGTCCAACTCCCATCACCAGGGCAAGAAAACTTAATCAAAGCCCTCCTGACAAAGAGCCATCCAGCCATAGATAGAGATAGATAGATAGATCGATAGATAGATGATTCACTCACAGAGAGATATAGTATCCTAGATTTGAAAGGGACCCCTAAAGAAGGACAATTATATGTTGCATGTTCCAGAGTAGGCAAACCAGACCCATCAAACCCTTCCAGTATTTTCTGTTGGTCATGTGTGCCAAGTTTGGTTCAATTCCATCATTGGTGGGGTTCAGAATGTTCTTTGATTGTAGGTGAACTATAAATCCCAGCAAATACAATTCCCAAATGACAAAATCAAAAAAATTTGAGTGAAGAACATACATTGCGTTGTTAGGTGTGTGCTGACCAATTTTCGTGTCAATTGACCCACTGGTTTTTGAGTTCTGTTAATCCCACAAATGAACATTACATTTTTATTTATATAGATATATATCATTTATTGCTTAAAATTTTGAGTGAAGGACATACATTGGGTTGTTAGGTGTATGCTGTCCAAATTTTGTGTCAATTGACCCACTGGTTTTTGAGTTCTGTTAATCCCACAAACGGACATTACATTTTTATTTATATAGATTGATGCTCTTCAACAGAGCATGATGCTGCTATTCCTACTTTTCTGTTTATCTCAAGGAGCCATTGCTTATCAATGAGCATTGCTCTATTTTGTTCTTATTGCATGTTGCCAATGATAAATGCCTTCTCTGTTCCATTTACGGCTGCATTCTGCCTAACCAAGAGGTGAGGTGAACATTGCTACGGCCCAAAGCTTATAATCTTTCCAACTGCCCTGTTTCGAAAAGGGGCTTAGCATAAGCCTGCCTGGGATTCATGCCCTCTGACCCGAAATTCCTCCCCCACTTCTGGAGTGAGTACTTGCTGGCTGCGGTCCCTGAGAAGTGATTTACAGGCATTTGGTTCACAAGACAGGGCGTTGTATCCTGTTAACTAGGAGACTGAGCTTTGATTGAGTTTGTCCCGGGTGAAACTCAGCTGGAGTGGGAGGAGAAGGAAGGCAGGCAAAACAAAGTAGAGATTGCTGTGAATATGGCAGGAGACAGCAAAGTATACTAAGCCTGGAATGCCTCTTATATGGAGGAAGAGACAGACATAATCAATGAGCTAAATGCTTTGCATTTAGCTCATTGATCTGCCCAAATCGAACATCCCTTCCATACATTCCAATTGTGAAGCTACATTTTTTGAGAAAGTCTTGCCACCCCAGTTCTTGCCTTCATTTTTCTGCCTCCCCTTTGTGCATTTACAATAGAGTGAGTGTGTTAAAGCCTCCTCTTTTAAATGGTTTGGATTAACATACCGTATATATTCAAGTATAAGCCGACCTGAATATAAGCCGAGGCACCTAATTTTACGACAAAAAACTGGAAAAACGTATTGACTCGAGTATAAGCCAAGGGTGGGAAATACAGTTGCTATGGGTAAATTTCAAAATAAAAATAGATCTGTTATCTGTACGCAGATGACGTCCAACTCTGTCACTCCTTTCCACCCACTACTAAGGAGGCTGTTCAGGTCCTGAACCGGTGCTTGGCCACTGTATCGGACTGGATGAGGGCTAACAAATTGAAACTGAATCCAGACAAGACAGAGGTACTCCTGGTCAGTCGAAAGGCCGAACAGGGTATAGGGTTACAGCCTGTGTTAGACGGGGTTACACTCCCCCTGAAGACGCAGGTTCACAGCTTGGGTGTGACCCTGGATTCTTCGCTAAGCTTGGAACCCCAGGTTTCGGCGGTTTCCAGGGGAGCATTCGCACAATTAAAACTTGTGCGCCAGCTGCGCCCATACCTTGGGAAGTCTGACTTGGCCACGGTAGTCCACGCTCTGGTTACATCCCGCATAGATTACTGCAACGCGCTCTACGTGGGGTTGCCCTTGAAGACTGCCCGGAAGCTTCAGATGGTCCAGCGTTCGGCAGCCAGGTTGCTAACGGGAGCGGCACTCAGGGAGCACATCACTCCGCTGCTGAGCCAGCTCCACTGGCTGCCAATCTGCTACCGGGCACAATTCAAGGTGCTGGCTTTAGCCTATAAAGCCCTAAACGGTTCCGGCCCCACTTACCTCTCCGAACGCATCTCCACCTATAAACTGACTAGGACATTAAGATCGCCCGGGGAGGCCCTGCTCTCGGTCCCGCCTGCATCACAAGCGCGTCTGGCGGGGACGAGGGACAGGGCCTTCTCGGTGGTGGCTCCTCGGCTATGGAATGCCCTACCTGTAGACATCAGACAGGCCCCTTCGTTGCTGGCGTTCCGGAGGAAGGTCAAGACGTGGCTCTATGAACAAGCGTTTGGCTAAACAGTGCAACTGAACACAGGAAGATGGTATAATCAAACATAGGAAACGGTATAAGGATTATGAGAACGGATTCTGATTTTTACTGAGGCGTTGATATGATAATTGATTGTTGTTTTGTCTGTTGTATATGATGTGTTTTAACTATTTGTTATTGTTATGATAATTTGTACTGTGTAAACCGCATTGAGTCGCCGAATTAGGCTGAAAAATGCGGTATAGAAATAAAGCAAATAAATAAATAAATAAATAAATAACCAATAAAATTACATTAATTGAGGCATCAGGAGGTGAAATGTTTTTGAATATTTACATAAGACTGTAATTTAAGATAAGACTTAAAGCCCAACTCTGATTAAATCATTATTCTAACCTTCTTTAATGTAAACATACTTACATATGGCTCTTTGTATAGCACTTGCCCCACATCCGATCATATAGTAATACCTCCGTGCTCATTAAAGGACTGTCTGTGAATAATTATCCAGACAGATGCTGTAGACCACGGGGAAGCAAACCTTCGGAAGAAGCTGCAACAACTATTTAACCTGAGTACCACTGCGGTTTACATCATATTGATCCGTTTGTCTTGGTACTTTTGCTTTGACCCTTTGCCAGAAGCAGGATGAAGATTCTGCCTTTTCTTCCCTAGGACACCAGATTTCCACACTTCTTTAAGTCACGACCCAAACTCAAGTCCAAGTGCTTTGTTAAAATACAGAATATTGACATAGGTCTACAAATTTTCCATGATTTGTTATTGCTTTTGTAAGTCTTGGCAAAAGACAGTCACACTGTACAAAGTGCTGAACTCAATCCCAACCCAAGATTTGCTCAGTTGTCAGTTTCTACCATTTAGCCAGAAACACTCAAACACTTTCAGGTTTATTTCTTCTGCAATTATGACTACATACATAGGGATTAGCGTATTTTCCAGCGTATAAGACAACTGGGTGTATAAGACGACCCCCACACTTTCCAGTTAAAATATAGTTTGGGATATACTCACCGTGTAAGACTACCCCTCTTCCGTAGCCAGCTTAGAAATGAAGATGAGCACCAACCCCCA